CCACGAGAAGTATAGGTTCTGCAGGAGCTGGTTGTCTGTCCACCCAATGTGGCGGGCGACACTGTCATATTGTTCAATCCAGTCCTTGACGTCTTCATACAGCTTGCGTGAAAAAGCGTCGGAGTGTGATTTGCGACGGGCATGCAAACAATGGTTGGAGGGGACACGGTTTGCTGCTACAGGTTTGTCATTGTTGGCTTAGTCAGCTTCGGATTTTCTGACAGGAGACCGAATTCCGGTGGTTTTTCCTGGTAGCAGCAACTGGCTCGAATTTCAGGTGCTTCGTGGTGTATTTCCGAGGTTACTCCTTGTGGTATTCGGTCGTCTTGCGGTTGTTCTGCCAGGCTCGGGTCAGGACTTTGCTTACGGCTCGACGGGGGTATAAGCCGCAGGATAGTCCGCCAGCCGTGTCCCATTATCGGGTAACTCGGCTGAAGAGCCGCCGGGTTCACACAGAGTGAAGGGCTATGGGTGCCCAGCACCTCCACCAGAACATACGATTACAGCTGAGCATGACCTGCAGTGTCCCAGAATAGTGAATATTGATAGAAAATAGGACTGGAACAAGGATCCGTGACAGTATAACAAAACTCGCAGAAGAGAATCTATCCTGACCATTGAAGAAGCTGCATTGCTTTAATGGCATTCTGTCCGAATAAATCCTCTCCTTCGAGGTTTGGCGACTGCCGTGGACGAACTGAACTGAAATGAATGTCGGACCACTTTTCTGGTAATGAGCCACTGCAGACTGTTGCCACAAAGCAGCGTGAGCTGGGTACGTAACACGCTCGATGAAATGTCCGGACAGCTTACAATGGACCTCTTGGCGAATATGTGCTGCCACCTAGACACGCGACTGGGGTCGAGGCTAACTGGCGAGAAAACAACGCGCGCGCGAGGCCTCTCCCACCCGCTGCACACTCAAAACGTCAGCTACATCCTGTTCACTCATTGAGGCGCTGTGACCTAGTTACGGCTCCCCCAAACTCGCCTTTGTCTCCATCGTGCTTAATCTTCCGCCCCGAAGTCGACACAACGAAACCATATTCCCTCTCTGCTCGGCCAGAAGGAAGAAAGAGAGGGTACTGGAACCAGTTACTCTCGAACCGATGTTTCTGCAAATGGTCCATTCGAGTAGCGAGTCTGGATGAAACGTTTGTGTTGACGAAACGTGCGACAGACCAGCGGGATCAATACCAACTGGAATATCTGTGCTCCGTGAAAGTGCACGTCTACGCCGGAACAATTTCGGAAGCAGCGCAGCATCACCTAAAGCATGGCACAGTAACTACCAGCTTGAAGGCAGCTCTTCGGTGCGCCGCACACCTGTGCTCCGTTAAAGTGCACTTCCACGCCGGAACAATTTGTAAGCAGCACAGCATCATTCAGCACGGCACGGGAACTACCAGCTTCAAGGCAGCCTTCCGGTGCGCCGCACAACCGAAGTGAATCCTCGGTCATTTGATCGAAGCTGCACCACGATTGCACACCGCCAAGCACGACTCACGCAATTTCCGTCGCTAAACTGTGTATCCAAATATATTGCACACGCTTCACTGCAAACCTCGAAGATTCCGATGGTCAACGAGAGCACGGAAACGTCGCCTTAAATTTTATCCTAGCGGTATCTGAATCAATCCGAGGTCCGAGCAACGTAGGTCAGATTGTCTCTTCCGTGGCAATATCCCGGTCGGTCACCAGCGAAATGCACACCGTTCCTCCGTATTTTCACGTTATACCAACGTCAAACACCACGCTGAACTCTGAACTCGCTTTCGACCGGCCTCATATGACGGTTTCCGCGTCTGAAATCAACTCGCCGAGACGAACGACAACCAACAAAGCATCCGAAAAGCTCCGGCCCAGCTGGGGCCAGCCGCTGCATGGGCGCTGCCATCTTTCCTGTGACGTCACGTATTTCGTTTGGTCATGTGACGTGTGGTCAAATTTGCGTACAATGGCAGCCGCCTTATGGGGGTCACTTTCGAGTGCAGACCGGAACCCCGGTTTATCGCTCTAAGCCCCTCTACCTCGTTGGATAAGCCCCACATTGCGTACGTGCCGACGGCTTCCATATCCGCTACGTATACGATCGCAACGCAGACATATGGGAGCATGACGCAGTGAAAAGCCGGATACTTCTTCGTAGTATAGCGCACTCCGGTGATTCGTAGTCACGTTGCCCGCCAGGACCGTCGCTTCCGCCGTACTGGCATGTTATGCGATGACGGCTTCCTGGTCTACCCAGTATTTCTTGCTTCAGACACGAAGCTAAGCGGCGCCACGTTTGAACAATGCAGCCGCCACTCCCAGTCTCAGGCATACCTAATGTTTCTTTCTTCTGTCGCCACATAGCGCCAAGCCAAATAGTATTGCAGGTTGCCTATAACCCCGTAAGGAAGATACTAAAAGATAAACATTCGAAATCAATCGCTGAGAATATTCAGTCGTAGGGCTACGCTTTGTGTTCGCGCCCTGTCCTGGCACTAAATTGTCCACTTCTCACCATCCATCCTCCTTCATTGTCTCTCCACAAACTTACTTCTCTGCGTTTCTCCCGTGTGCTTTTAGAGCAAAAATAGAAATGGATACTGAGAGGCGAAATGGATTCAGCGCACCGGATAAGGCTAATGTGCGAGCATAAAATAATACATTATTAGACTTAGACAGAATTAACGTAGCCTTATATTCGATAGTTCGTGGTTTTTTGGCCATGTTATATTATTTTGTTTTCATTCTTTAAAGTTCTTATTTCTCTGATCATTGTTTTATTATATCCAATTTGGTTATTTCCTCGAGACCTCTACCGGGGTTCAGCAATAGTACAACGAAGTCTTCCTGGCGTGCGTTAGCTAATGCTTTACGTGCTAGAAAATTGAAAACTCGAGTTGATTGTTGTTATGGCTGAAGTTCGAGCTTGTTCCGCAATCATTTAGCAGTTGAATATCGACAGAACAGACATAGTTGGGCGGTCTTCCGTATACTAGAGCAGCTAACTTGACGTTTTTACCAAGCTACCGATCCGAACGCAAACCGAGCCGAAAACCGAATTAAAACCGTCGTGTTGACCAAACCGGAGCAAAACCAAATCCTAAATCGAACGGTAGGTAATGAACCCGAACCAAAAACAAACCACATTATTATGTGCCGGTTTTCGGCTGGCAGAGACGGTGTGGCGAAACCCAAAGCAAGTCAGCTATTCGAACCTTCACTTTACTTCTGCTCATCAAGTGCTAATAGCGCTGGGCTACTGTGCATGTCACGCGCACTATTGCTTTGCATGCCAGTGTTGGTCGTCATTTTTATTACAGTATAAAAAGAATGTCGCCCCCTTTATAACCAAAGCTTTTGGTAACGCGCCACAACTTATTTTATTTTTTGAAACAGCGGTATTTAGCAGCGGTGCTATAACCGCCGCGCCACACCGCAGACAGCTTGAGGACCATAAAGCTTGCGTATGGCCCTTAGTCTGGTCACTCAGTGCTGCTCATGGAGGTGTGTCGCACCAAATGCGCTCAGAAATTTTCTTGCAAGGTACTACCCTCAATCTAACTTGCTAAACGAGTCGCGCATAGTCCCAGCTACCTTAATCAACGCTCACTTTTCTGAAGGGCCTGCCTAGATTAATTTGATACCGCAAAATGTGTCTCTTTTGCGAGATTTCCCATACAAACTGAGCAGAATATCAATCGCATTTTGAACCACCTTCCACTCTTTTTTAGGCTCTCTTTGTTGTGTGGAGGCGATGTCAACGGCCATCAAGAACTTATGTCTTTGAGCGCTTTGATAACTATGTCTTCATTTTTATTTTATGATTAGAAAGCAAACTTCATCATTGACATTTTTACATGGAAATTTTTACGGTATCTTAAGCAAGATGGCGCTAGTGCACGATGTCCACTAGCGCCCCATGCGAACGCGAACATGCGAACGCACGAATGCGAGCGCATGAATCCACGGCTCCCTTAGGTCGTCTGCGGTGTACTGGTGTAGAGGGCCACGTTTCGGTACTGCCGAGGCTGCGGCCTCCGACGATGTAGATGCCTCAGGCGGCGCCATGTTCCTCGGCGCCGAGAGGAGCAGATCTGAATTGTTGGAAACAGCATCTCAACTGAGACTGGGGTACAGAAAGCACGGCCGAAGACAGCGCACGAGCTGAGACGTTGGCGCGCCCAGCTTTTGCTTTGTTTCCTTACCGAGTCTCAGCTGAGACGCTGTTCTAACAAACCGGCCCAAAAGCAGCCGAAATACTCCCCCCCCCCCCCCCCCCCCCCCCCTCCGGCAACGGCTCACACAAGAGCGGCGGCCGAGCGCGTGCTCTCGTGAAGCGAACGCCAATGGCTATTTAGGATCCGTATTGCACAGCCAATGGAAGAATGGCCATTTCTTTCGCGTTTGTTTTGCGGTTACAGGTGCTGCCAGCTCCTCTCCATGAAATAGTTAATACTTTCGCATTGACAAATATCGCAATTGACCATACAGAGTGTGCTGCGATTGGCGTTTGTGTTGTTGCAAGATGTGTTTTATGAGATTTACCTTTAGTCGATGTGCTTTAGGATACTTGGTTCAGAAGCTTTGCTTTCACTACAATAGCTCTAAGAAAAATCCTTTAGCATATATGGGCATTTTGCGGAATTCTTTCACGACATATTCTTTTGTAGAAAAACAGACACTGAGGCATGCTGTTTGGTTAAAATAGTCTTGTAGAATACGGTTTTAGTTAATTAATTTTCACATACACGCCGGAATACTTTCCAGAATCCCGAAACGACTGCAGTGGCCAGGGGTGAAGGAAAGAAAGGGGATGCAATAGTGCGTCATGCTATAGGTGACGTGGTTGTGCGCGGGGAGTAGACGATGAGATGAGAAAGATAACGCGGCGGTAATGAGGCGATACGAGTCCCGCAATCACGAGGGTTTTCGCGTACGGACGCTACCGAATCTTACCAAAAAGGGTAACAACCGGTGCCGCTGTAAAAGCGTTTCGATGCCATACTCACACTTGACGTTTAGCGCGACAGCCACATCTCGATGTCCGAGTCCTCGGGCTTCGGGGTCCTCGACAACCTTCCCGTAAGTGACATGGTAAGCGCCGCACTTGAGCTGCTTGCCGTTGTCGGTGTTGTTAAAGGTATAGTTCAACACGGACAGTGCCTTCCATGTATAAGGCTTCTCTTTGTCTGTTTCGTTGGTTTGCGTGGCCAGGTGGGAGACGTCTTGAGAGTCCAGGAACCAACGTAGAAACGCTGGTGGGTTCCCCTTGCCGGACACGCACTGAAAGTTCAGAGAGTCCCCCGCCTTTGTGGTGAAGTTGCTACTAGGGGTCAGAAGGCGCGAGCCGTTTTGGATGCTAGGAGGGTGTGGTGACTCTGCGAGGGAAAACAAAGTAATTTGTGATATAGATATTACACACATTTGTCAGAATTGGCAATATTAAAAAAATAACTTCCGACTACTTAATAAAAAATATTAACAAAAAGAAGCAAAGAGCGAGAGAGACAAGCAACGAAAGAAACTGCAATGGCATTCGGACCTTTGCATTAGATCGTTTTTGCACTGTGTTACCAATACCCCCATTTTTGGCGGGGTCATTACGCATGAGAATCTAGACACCTTTGCATCGCTTATCCCCCGGGCGAAAAATGCTGAGTCAGTGAGCTGTGGACGGACGCGCAGGGTCTGATATACTGCAGAGCAGAGCAACGGCACAGGCTCAGAAGACCTTCCACAGCCCAGCAGGAAACAATGGCAGCGCGCAGAAAGCGATTTTCACAAAGGTATGTAAACGGAGATAATATAGTAAGGGTGCAGGCGGGAGCTGGTGAATGCTAACCATGCTGAATAAATTTGAGACTAGGGCAGAAATGAACATATAAGTCGAAGGAAGGTACAGTTAGCTTTGTGAATCGGCATGAAGGCCGCCCATAGTACTACTTTGTGTATTGGAGGGTTTGGCGTTTGGACTGTTCAGAGGTGGTCCCTTTGTGTTGGCGGTGGCTGATTGGAGGGTTTGGCGTTTGAACTGGCTAGAGGTTGCCCCTTTGTGTTGGTGGTGGCTGATTGTGGGCTATATAAGGAGGCGGACTAAATAAACCTGGTAGCTGAGTTTGAGATGTCGTCCTGTCCTTTTCTGTTCCTCCGACTTAAATGTTCATTTCTGCCCCAGTGTTTATTCAACATGGTCTGTAAACAGAAGGTTTTTTAGGCGCCTGTTTTCGACTTTTGTGGAGTTGGCGTCAGCGTCGGCGTAACCGCGCTAAATTTAATGGAAAATTGACATCAGGTTATCTCAACACCAATTTCATTCTCCGCTAAATTTGGCGGAGAAAATGACGTCATATGATTTGGTGAGACGTCACAAATGAACAAATTCAGTTTGTCCGCTAAATTTAGCGGGAAAATTGGCGTCGTGTGACTTGAACACCAATTCACTTTCCCCGTTAAATTTAGCGGGAAAATGACATCACATGATTTGGTGTCACGTCACCTATGAAAAAAAATTGCGGTGGCTTAGCTCGGCTATGCCAGGATATATGTAGCGTGAGCTTATGCGCCCACTATGAGAGGCGCTATCAAGCGGCTACGGTGCAGCGTCAGACTTGGCTACTGCGCAACGAAGGCGCAAAGCTGGGCACGTGGTGGCGCCAGTGCGTCTGCCGCGACTATGACGTCACTCCTCTGGAATGCGCAGACCGGCGAGGCGGGCGAGGTGGGCGCGGCGGTGGCGGAGCGCGCGGCGACGGCTTCGCGTGGCTCTCGTTAGGAGCCGTGCTCATTATGCGGAGCTCCGCCGCCGCCGCCGCGCGCTCCGCATAATGAGCACGGCTCATTATGAGGGCCACGCGAAACTGCTCAACCTCAGCCAGTGTACCTAACGCTACAAAATCAATTTATCCGCTAGATTTAGCGGAAAAATTGACGTCACGTGACCTCAACACCAGTTCAGTTTCCTCGCTAAATTTAGCGGCGAAAATGACGACACAGGACTTTCTGTCGTCACCTACTAATGAATTCAGTTTCTCCGCTAGATTTAGTGGGAAAAGTGGCTTCACGTCACCCGCACCACCAATTCAGTTTCCCTGCTAAATTTAGCGGGGAAATTACGTAACATGACTTGGTGTCACGACACCTATGGACAAATTCAGTTTCTCTGGTAGATTTAGCGGAGAAACTTAATTTGTTGGAAGAGGCGACGGTATTGAGGAGGAGGAGGGGAGGCTACGGAGGACGAGGGGAAGGTACAGAGGAGGAAGAGAGGAGGAGGGTAGGAGAAGGTAAATGGAAGATGAGGAGGATGAGGAGGGAAGAGGAGGCGGAGGAGGAGGAGGAGGAGAGGAGAGAAGGAGACGGTACGAAGGAGAAGGAGGGGCATACGCACCCTTCCGCCCGTGTCTTCCCCTCCTCCTCCTCAAGAGCTGCACTATAATTTCGCGTTACAGAGATTTGTAAACTTCTAATTTTTTCTTACGATATCAGTAGACGATCGCGGAATATGAAGACGCCGTGTATTGCCCTGACTTTATTCCTGCAATTTTTATAGCGACAGCTTGTATCTCGATAGCCTGTTTATTGCTTAATAATTTCTTTACTGCTAGATTGTGGTACCACTGTGTATTATTATTTTGGAACACTCGGAGTGCGAACGTCAAGAAACGCTGCTGCATATTTCGGCAGGGTACACCAGCATAGGTATCTGCTTAAAGTCTAGAACGATACTTCGAAATAATTGAATGTTAACCTTATAGGGTATTCTTGTAGGTGTGCAGGTACGATCTACAAATCTTTCCGACATCAACCATGAATTAAACAGATGCCTGAGCCCACGAAGCGTAGAAGTTAATAAAGCGACTTAGATTTTGTAAGGGATTCATAAAAAAAAAAGAACATTTGTGACGTTCATAAACGAAAACATAGCACGCGAACACTGTGAAGCTGACTAAACAACTGGACTAGAAGGACTGTCATTAATATTTTTATCAATCCCATTACCAATAGACCCTTTCCGAAAGTCCGTCTACCCATTTTGTGCAGAGCCAGACCCGACGCTCTAATGGCAGAACTACATTGTTTCTCCACTCCAGAAAAATAGACGTCTTCGAAAGCATAGAGCAGAAAAAGGAAAAGATATTGGTCGTTTCACGTCACATTCGATGCACGAAATCGAGGGTGCTTGATTTAGCCGCGCATGATATCCTATCGCCGCCATTAGAGCGGCAATATTGGAGCTTTTTGGACTGCCACAAAAGGACTCTGACTTTGAAAAGGGTCTATTCTGGATTTAGGTATCGTTTGTAAAGGAGGATCGGCTGTAAAGCAGCTTTGCTGTAGAAACCTAGTTAAAAAAATGACCGAAGAGTAATAGAAAAATGATGGAAGGTTTACTGAAGTTCTACAGATGCGCATTATAGTTCATATATTTATTGATTAAATGGAGAACAAATTTTCCTTGAAAATTTAACATCCTAAATCTAGATGCTTGGAGCGGTTTATGGAATGTCGGTCTTCAGCACAGTGTCAATTCACGAATTAAACTCTCCCAGGCTGAAGGAATTAAATTTGAAATCGCCACGGAGCAACGCAAGAAATAATGTAGGCGTTAGAAACAACGCAGGATGCAGCGAGTTACAGGGTTTTCATAATATTCGAAGTTGTGACTTTAAACCATAATGCCGTGCAGTCAAACCTTTTAGGGCCCCACATTATTTCTGAGAACATAATTACCTAGCACAACGAGCTTGATATTCGTGGAGGCTAGGGGTTTCTCGTCGAGAGAGGCCTGGGTCACTTGGCACTGCCACGAGCCGTTGTCTTCCTCGAGCGTTGTATTGAGGATCTGCAGGGAACAGTCGCCGTTCTTCGGGCTCCGCTCGTAAACGTACTTGTCCGGGATGCGCCCGACTGCGACTCCGTCCATGAGCCAGGCGCAGTTGCCTCGACGGTTCTCCACCACGCACCGAAGCGTGACATCCTCGCCTGGGTTCACCTCGGTGTCTTCGGGCTCCTCGAGAAACTTTTGTACACTCTTGGACTTGACTGCAATGAAGCGATATGCGAGAGAAAATGGAAGCATAATTTTAGAAACTTGTTAGAACTGATCGGGGAGTATACTTACCATTTGTAAACATGAATACGAAACATTGTACTAATCTAGTGCTTTTATTACGCTAAGTGTAACTTTTTAAGTATACTTTTAGTGTATATTTGAATGATTTGTACGTAGTTCAACTACTCTACTCAAGTTACTGTAGTAACTACTTTTCCGAGTAGTTTAGTAACTTTCAGTTACATTTTTATTTCGGTAGTTAGTAGTTTACCTTAATTACTTTTTGACTAACTTGTACTCAAGTTAGAAACTACATTCCAATTTTAGTGGTTGTTTTGCCTATCAACAAACATTCCTACATAAAGGAGATAAGATGTTGGAAGATCAACTGATATTTGCAATGAGGGGAAGCATGTGGCGTAGGTAAGGGGGGGGGGGAGAAATTGGTTTGGAAAGTCCAGAACCCCACCCCTCCCGTCCCTCCCAAAAAAAAAATTTTTTTTTTTTTTTTTTTTTTTTTTTACAAGCTTTTTTTTTTTCTGCAAGAACACTACTACCAGGCGCTGGGAGCGAACAGACACGACGCAAGAGAGGCCGAGTAAAGAGCGAAACACGTGAACGTCAAAACTGTCCGATCCGACGTGCGAACTGCCGGAACGACGTTTGGAGGCGAGGGTTTTCGACGTTCTCCGGTGCGACGAAAACACTCGCCCCCGAACGTCGTTCCGGCAGTTCTCACGTCGGATTGGACAGTTTTGACACGCATGTGTTTCGCGCTTAACTGCGGGATTAGCGCCGAACGCGTTTCTCTGTGTCCCGAAGCTCAAGGAGACTTGACCCATTTGAGGAAAGGGCTGGTCCCCGCTTCTCAAAACGCAGAAACGATGGTGTACTATAGACAGGTGGGGAAACGAGAGCCAAATGAGCGACCGAATTGTGTCCCCCTCGGTTTTCTCTTTTTTTGTGGCGCCATCTATGTGGAGCACAACGAACTCTCATTCCGGGTGGGCGACCGGTGTTGACCGCCTAAACTGAGGGAGATGGTTTCTCGTAGATCATCAATGGAGGACTGTCGTGCTCTCGGTTTATTTTATGCACTTTCCCATAGAGTTCCACGCAAATCCAATTCCGACTTTTTTTTTCTCTCGCCACAGCGCCTTCTGTCGCAAATCGGGGGTACCCGCTAGCAGACCAGTACACAATCCGCTCACGGCGCTGCGGTAGGCTCCTATGGGCCGTTTCCCCACCTGTCTATCTTACAACCTGGTAGAAACTCTCTCCAACTACGGGAGGTGCCCACACTGCATCCTCACTCAAAGGAGGCAAGAAAATGGAGCACCTGCTCTGAAACTCATGCGGTGCTGCCTTGGTTTTTGCTGCACTCAAAGAATCGCTTGCTAAAGGGCAATGCAAAGATTACATTTTTGCGTTGCCTTTCCTCCCAAAGCTCAATATATGCAGATCTTCAAAGATTAGAAGATCGTTCAAGGAACTTGTAGTAATTCCCCCGACGTTTTATATAAAAATATTAAGCAAGCAGTGTTGGGAAGTACTTTCTGTACATGGCACTTCAAGTACTACTGTTGAGAAAAGTTGTACTTTATTGATGTAAATTCTCTGAACATGTACTTGTATTTTCCGAGGAAAGTAAAACTCCAGACTTTAATATGCATTCCGCGAGCTCGAAAAAAAATGGCGGTATCGTTGTGTGAAAACGCGCTCTTTCGAGACGTCATCTGGTCATTTTTCTGAGTTTAGTAACGGCGGCCGTGAGACCGAAGGAAATAAGTGCCCTATACGCTGATTGTGTCAAATAGCTCGTCAGTGATAGTAAAACAGCTACTCTGCGGCGACTTGACCTTATACAGTATTTGCTGCCATTTCCGTAAAAAACTGATGCAGCTCCGATTACCCCTGTAGCAATGCTTGCCAGTTTAAAAAAGAACACTGTGTAGGGAATGAAAGGGCATCATGAAAAATTATGTTAAATGTGCTTGTACTTTACCTTGTAATATATTATATTTATATAAGTTACTTCGGGTACATTGTAGCCGGTGTACTTACGACTCTACATCAAGTACAATACCTCTAGTTTACTTTGTACTTTACTTCAAGTACTTTTTAGATATACTTTACGCAACACTGTAAACAAGCTAACACTGTCCAAAAAAGCGAGCTCAGACAATGCTAAACCTCAAAGTTGAAATGACACATTCGCAGTACATCATTGACCAAACAAACAAGAAAGTAAAAAACAATTAGGCACGCAGAAGCAAAACCGGCTACTGAAGCATTTCTGTGAAAAAAAACAAAAAAAAAACAAGCTGATTCATATTCGGCTAGCACCATTTCGCTAACGGATCAAAACTTCTGCACTTTCTTTTTTACCATAAAAATATATAAAAAAGTAACTTCAAAAGTAATTCACTACTTTTTTACGGTAATTAGTAATTTTCTCAATTACTTTCTTTTTGAGTAATTTCTACTTTACACAAATTACTTTTCACGTCAATACTCAGTAATTTAACTTAATTACTCTTTGGAGTAACTTTTACATGTCTGATATTTTATGCCTGTAGGACACTTTTAATGTACATTTTTAACCTACTTTATATTACAGCTGTGCGATCTGCAGGACAACCCGGTTTGATACTATTTGATATGATGACTTTTAGAAAGTGTCAAGGTAGAGACAATTTCAGAATAAATTGACTTCCGCTGAAATAGAATGCAACTCGCGCCCTCTAGGCGACTGCAGACTGGTAAAAACGAGAAAGAAAACTGCCTGGCGTTAATTCGATCCCGCGCCTGCTTCATTATATCAAATCATTAACGACTCATCTCATTTTTGCGGCGGTTTATGCTTAAGGCTGGATCAATTATTATACTTTAAGTCGCGACGCAGCCAACGCTACAAGCTGATGGGTCCAATCAATCAGCCTACCATCATGCGTCATGTTTCTGTATGTGTTCTTTTAACGCATAAAAGCAATCGGAAACAGAAAAAAGCCCAGAGACTCGCGCTGTTCACGTTGTTTGAGTGGTTCCCTTATCTCGTAACGTCGGAGGCATCTGTACCTCAGCTGAAACCAAGTGTAGAATACGATTGTTCTACCGACTGCGAGCTCCTGGTTAGTTCAGCCGGCGGATCGCTCTGCTAGTCTTATGGCGGATTGACACTGGCGGTTGAGGTGCGTTTACGAAGAGGTTGCGAATACGGTTCACGAACGACTCTGTTCAGGCAACCTGAGACGTGCTTGATGGTTTCTCTGCGATCACACGTGGTATTTTGAGACTTACGTTCGGTAGTCCTGTTTTACGATCCAAATCCAGTTTAATACACGATCCAAAGCCAAAATTTCGCTATTGCGACACTATAAAGATTTTGCTTTGGGCTGTTCGCACGCATTACGAGTTTCAGGCAGCGAAAAAAGAGACATGGACCTTCAAAACGCCCCTCCGATTTCTTCGACTTCGCACGCAAGCAAAGCCCCAGCCAGGCATATACACCTTTCCAAAAAACGCTTAGGCGGCCGCCATGTTGCTGATGCTGATGCGGCTGGCGCGACTCTCGCGCCCTCTATCCGTTAGAAAATATTTGCCACTCTCTTGGACTGTGAAGACCAGCTCGGCGCGGTTCTCTACCTATATTTTGCGGTTTTGCATCTGACGTTTTCTCGCCCCTCTTGAAAGTTTCCACTTAATTTTTTTTATACGTGCTGCGTACATGTTTTGTGTACCTTTCATTGTGAGAAATAGGGCTGGTAAGTGCCTGCCATTCAAGTTTTTCTGCTTTACATTCACGGGAAACGAAGGAGGTGAAGGACGTCGAACGACCCTCGACGCGATTTTGCGAACATTGTTCTCCCCCCTCTTACAGGTAATGCGCGTAGAATCCTCCGTCGTCTCAAAAAATAGTTGTCCGGGTTGAGTTGGGAAACGTGTCAGTCGCGTTCGTTCCTTTGCCTTGGTGCGGTTGTGAAAAAAGGAAGCTCTCCCCAAAACGTGCTTCAAAACGAGGTCATCTCGGATTTCGTCCGATCGTCAAGATGTGACTGTAGTCGGCTGTGACTGTGTTATTTGAGATCTTTCTCAAATAAATTCTTTTCGGATAACGTTGCATCGTGTGGTACGTACGATATATTGTTCGAATGTTAACACTTCCTCAATTGCATGTCCGTGTCCTGTCCATCGGTAAACACGTTATTTGTGAGCTTGAAAAATGCATGCCTTTCGGCCCTCTTCTCTTGCAATTTATTTTTGACAGCAACGCGCTTTGTCGTTTCACATGCGGCGAATCCCGCGGTGCCGTCAAAACATATCGTAAGAAAAAAACACAAATAACTAGAACTATACATTCCACTCACATTCTTTCTGTCGCGCATGTACCCAACAAAAATAGTTTACTGTTTTGTTTTTTTTTGCTTTTTTTTTATAAATGTGGTACAATGCTTTCTCAATGTCCTCGGGTAACTACATGTACCATGAAGCACAAAATACAGTGGGAGAAGACGAGAATTTAGCCGCCAGTAGCGTTTGAAACTGCGCCTACGCAGGCTGCGCCTATTGGGCAGGAGATCAAACTATAGTGGGCGCTCTGACCCGTTTGTTTTTTCCACGCTCGGTGTTTACTCAACAAAAGGCCTGTGCACATGCCGACAGGCCTTATGGGCATAATTATATTGCAATTAAATGCAAAGGTGCAAGCGAGCTGAACAAGAATGATGAAAATAATCCCTGGAGAAGGGGAACAAGAGGGACAAAGGACAAACATAAATCTCCAAACACAGCTATAGGGGACTGGTGAGCGACCGAAAAAATCTGCCTGGTCCGGTACAGATTACCAAAATCGTCCGCCGAGAGGTGGAAGCAATGATACCTAGTGAGGGTTCCTCTCGTTGTTCCGAGTCGCCGGACGTGACAGTATCGATAGCTGCTGTTCAAAGTGTCGTCAGGAAGGAAATGGAGAAGCTCTGTGCTTCTTCATGCC